TGGAAACTCCTGTCCCTGGGCTGAGCATCACCACCATTTACGTGACTGTGGGCCAGGCTGGAAGGGGCAGCGAGGGCCCCCTGCAGCATCGGGGCAGGGGGCAGGAGGAGACCACCCAGCCAAGAAGCCTGCAGAAGCTGCCTTGTAGGGTGCAGAATGCTGGGAAGGACACCCCAAGGAAGCCGGCCGCAGAGGCAGGCCTCAGCGTGGCTGATGCTGAAGGCCTGCTGGCTCCTGACGAGGCGGATGGTGGAGGGAGCAGCGGCCTGGAGCTGTGAGCCTGCCTGGAGGAGCACAGCCAGGGGAGCAAATGTGCCCTGCTGGGTTTGCCCCTGGAGCCCAGCTAAGTCTGGCTCCCTCCCACAAAAGAGGGGGAGCAAAGCTTGAAGGGGAAGAGGCCAATCCCGCCCATGCCCTGGAGAAGCTGCCTGCCCAGAAGGGGTTGGGCCCCCATCCTTCAATCCTTACCAAGCAGGAGTCTGCCTGCAGTTGCCTAGTGCCCCACAGAAATGAGGCACTTCCCTCCTCTTCTGAGGGGGAAGCTAAGAAAAGAGCCTTTGGCCACAGTCTGGCATCTGGATAGTGCCCCCTCAGATGTCTCTGAGCTGCTGCATTGTACTGACAAAGCCACTGGCCCGAAACTGCTGGCACATGCCATCCCTCCTCCCAACAATTCGGCTCTTCTGCTTGTGGGTACCCAGCCTTGAAAGGTTCTGGGGAGCTGCCAGTGGTGGCCAGCAGGGGGCGCCTGCCGCTGGCAGAGCACCAGCCTCCTCCAGGAGTCTTGGGCGAAAGAGGCCAGAGGCCGCGGCCAGCCGGCCAGCCAGCGGGAGGCATGTGGGAAAGCTGAACTGGCAGCCTTGCCCAAAAGCCTTGCTGGGCCCCCAAAGCAGAAATGCTTTGCAAGCCAAGACCCGGAAGAGCACGTGGAGTCCTAAACAAAACGTTTGTCAGAGGGATGAATGACCACTAAGACTGCATTAACTGTATGGAGTCAATCCATTTTAATTTGGAATTAAAACGAATTTACTTCTAACCTCAGCTGCTGCTTCTTCCTGGCCTGTCCCCTTGCTGGCCTGTGGCCCCCACTGTGACAGGCAACAGCAGTTTATGGTTAACTAAACCCTGGTTTATAGTTTATGGTTAACTAAACCTTGGTTTACTTAGTGCAGTATTCTGGGCCCACGTGACACACTGAACCCTGACTGAAGCATCCAAGCTAGTTTGCCCAGGGCGCAAATGAAAATATTGGGGATACTGGCCTAGGACCTGGCACTTTTCACCCCTCTTGACACTTCAGTGTAAGGAAGGACCACTGATTCAGACCTGAGCAGTGTTCAAATCACCCTTTGCCAACCCAGTCCACATCCACTCCTTGGTGAAAAAGTGTTCACCCTTCCTGGATTCTCCTGAACGTTTATCTCTTTGCCACTGGATGTTATCACAACTTCACGTGGGTTCTGCTGATCCTTCAAGGGGCCTGAATAAACACATGGCACCAGAGCTCCAGTTAGTAGCACTGGTTCACAATCACAGCCATCCAATTCGCAGCATGCCAGAGTGACAAGTAATTCCCCTACCCCCACAGCTCAATTCAATCAAAGGGATAAGGGGGCCAGTTGGAGCAGTTAATTAAAAAAAAGTCAGGGCTGATTTGGGCCAGCCCCGCCCTATAGAAATCTCACCAGTCTCAGCTCCTCGACCACAGGGATGTTCTCAGATTCTAGAGGCGCACCGTGCCCTGCTCAGAACACATTAATGATCTGTTCTCCCAAAAAATCCTGGATGCCTCTCGCTCTGGAAAAATTAAAATCATTTCCAAAGCCCTGGGCTCCCTTGGTCCCCTGTCAGATGCAAGACTTGAAATGGAGATTTGGGATGAGAGTATCTTCACAAGAGGGGCAGTCCTGTCAAAATCTCTCCACAAGCACAGCATAAAATTGTACAAGAAGTCACAAAGAACCCAGAACAACATCCAGGGATCCACAGGCCCTTCTCACCTTGGCCAGAGTCAAACATTCCTGTTTCCACTCTCTGAAAAGCATTGAGAAAAATGGGATTTATGGGAAAGCAGCAAGAAGAAAGCCACTGCTGAAAAGGAGAACATTGGTGCTCCTCTCAGGTTTGCTAAAAAGCACCTGAGTGACCCTCCAACCTTCTGGAGGACCCCCCCCCCCGAGTGCAAAGTGGAGCAGGGCTACTGTCAGGCATGCAGGTGGGAACGTGAGGGTTGGGGCTGCCTCATGACGTGGATAACCTGTCATCCAGGTGAGCGCGGCTTTAGCTCTGCGGTGGAGAGTTAAGCGAGAGACCTTTGGTCCGCATATGAAATTGAAGCGCGCGTGAGTGATGCAACAAGATGGCAGTCTCAAGGGTACCAGCCCCCCTCCAGGACAAAGAGACCCAGTGCTCTGGAACCACCAACCCTGCTGGAGCTCCTGGGCAGGCAGGCCATGCTAAAGCAAGCTGAAATCTTCCTGAGCAGGGATGGGCTGGGGTTCGTTCACACACACAGCTGGGAAAGAGGAGCTCCCATTGCAGGAAATGTTTGGCTACTGCGATCACAGCCAGAAGTGGTGCGACCAGTTAGGGAATCTAAGGCCAACTTTTTCTCCCACAGGCACATCGCGTGTTGGCACAAGCTCCACTTTGATGTGATGTGTTTACTCAGACCCCCTTGAAGAATCAGCAGGACCACTGAAGCGCTGATAACATTCACTGGCAGATAGGCAGACAGAATCCGAAAGGACGACTACTTTATCCTTGAAGGGGCGCCGGAGGCCATTCGCCCCCTCCCCCGCCAATCCGGTTTCTTCCAGGCCGCCCCGGCTCTCACGGGCGGCTGCGGGCGGGGGGGCATCGCCCTGCGGGGGCACCGGTGGGCGCGGAAGGAGGGGCGCTCCAGACTCCCGGGAGAA